CCCACTAGTCTATACTATATTACAAGCGATTAGGTCCACGTCATCTGCCCTCTCCTTCTCCCATCCTCGTTTTCTCTCTTCTCTCCTTTCTCCCTTACCCCTTCCTAATCCTTCAACACCACAGTGCCACTCCAAATCTCTCTCTCATGTTCTCAATCACTTAGCCAACCCCCTCCTAAAATTTCTCCTAAACTCTCTCCCACCTAAAATTCTTCCTTAAACACCTTTAATCTATATTGCCACGTTGCATGCCTATCTTCTTCACTATAGTTTCTCTCTCTCTCTCTCTCTCATGTTACCAATCGGCTCAACCCCCTTCTAAAATTTCCCCTAAACTCCTAAAACACCTCTTAATCTATATTATAAACCATATAAAAACATAAAAACGTGGGAAAATTAATTAACTACATTAATTTGGGTAGTTAAATTAATTTGTGAAATATTTTTTATATTTTCAATAATTACTAATATTATTGAATATTATTTAGTAAATATCAACACCTAAACTATAATTTTTTCATAATTTTGGTAAATTGAAAATTTTAATTACTAAGAATTACTTCTTGAAAATTATTGATTTTGGTAATTTAATTTCAGAATTTTTTGAAAATTAATTATTGAAATCAATAATAATTAATAATTAAAATATTAATAAATACAAATTTAATAATTAAAAATTATTAGTAATTTTTATCAATAAGTAGTTATTGATATTTTCATTAATTCTGGTCAATTTATTAATATTTAATGATATTATCAAAAAATAATTAGAAATGTTTAGTAATTTATTAGTGGAAAATTAATTTCAAGAAACATAAATTTATTTTTTATATTTTCAGTAATTTTGTTATTTACTATAATTTTTGAGCAATAATTAGTGATTTTGTTAATTTAGTGAAACCTAAATTCTAAAACTTCCAAATTTTCAAATAAATAACTGAAAAATTTTAGTAATTTCCATAAGTATTGGATACTACATTTATAATTACCATAATTAATGGAACTATATTTATGGGTTTGGGGGTGTTATAAGTTTAGGGGATGACCCCCAGGGTAGGAATGGCAATGGGTGGGTTCGGGGTGAGGATCATACTCTTCATCCCGACCTTGAGTTTTAAATCCTTGAATTTTTTAATTAAAAGTTTGTTTCTAGAGAGGTATTTATTTAAAATAAAGGAAAAAATTAAAATATAAATAATATTTTAAATATATTTTGATAAATATAATATAAAAATATTATAAATAACATACATAATATTATATATTTAATATAATACATATACACATATTTTTAATTAATATATATAATCGGGGTTGGGGCGAGGGGTGGACTTCACTCCCCGTCCCCAATCAAGTATTCCTATTAATCCAATCCCCACCCTATGCCCACTAAGGCAATCTCCATCCCATCCCCACCTGATCAGGAAGGCCAAGTACTTGGCGGGGATGGAGAAAATTGCCGTCTCTATCCCCGGGTTGTAGATCCATAGAACAATAAGTTTTAAATCCAATTTCATGCATCACATGGGGGCCCTCTAGTAGCAAATATAGGTTTTTCTTTTTATTTTTTATTTTTCAATTTGGCAAGTAATAGGTGTTTAGTATACAAGCCAAGGTTTTAAAAACAGACCGAACATAGAACCATTTTGGGGACCGGTTCTTGGGTCAAATGGTCTGACAGTCCGATCCGAATGAATGACTAATTTTATTTAAAAAATAAAAAATATTTAAAATAAAATAGCCAAAACTGCTGACTGGATCAATAAGTCGACGATTCAACTACCCTAGTCAGTGGGTCACTAACCAAATCAATGACTTTAAAGTGAAACAGAACCAATTGCTTGACCGGTTCCCGTATCAACCATCCAACCGTCAGGTCCAGTCCGATTTTCATAACCGTGATACGAGCAACAATGAATTTACTTCTTGACATAGTTACATCACATGGAAGCTTCCTTTTCTTGATGTGTTGTTGGTTTAATGGGGTTTATGTAATAATGATAAGAATCTACCAAAAAGGTCTACACAAGTTTTCCATGTCATCGATTGGTGTTGTCAATTTCCATCCATTTGCTATTGGTTAGGTTGTAATTAAAGGGAAGAGTTAAGTTTTCTAATCATAATCATTTAAGTCATGTCCCAATTATATGGCCACATGGGGTTTGTCTACATGAATCCTGTTTTGCCATTTTGGTTCTTCAGTGTCAAATCCGGTCATTAAATTATGATGCATAAATCATTTCTTATTACTTCAATTCAAGTCTTTTCAGTCCCTTAGTTCTATCTATTAACCCCTTTAATTTATAATAGATCGCTTTTCCTAATTAGTGCTGCTGAAGGTGGTTTTTTTTTTATGTACGTAACTAAATCATCTCAATTTACTTTCTCTCATTTATGACATGTTAGAGCTATTCTTCCTAGGTTCCTTATTATGATTTCATTTGTAACATTTTTCCAGTTTTACCACCCATCCATCTAAGCACTCACAATTTTGCCACACAACATTAATGTGTATTTGGCCATAGTAGTTGTTTCTAATGGAGGAACCCAACTTATATATTCCCAATCCATGGGGATAGGATCGCTTATATATACCCAAATCCCAACCCACTGGCAACAACATACAAAAAGAGATATCTCTAACTTGCAGCACAGAAAAAACTGAACAAAAACTCAAAATGAACTCAAACCCATCATCAAGTTTTCAAGTAGGAAGCATCCTTATAATGCAAATTGGTGCAGGCAAATCTGAAAAGAAAAAAAAAAAACCATTTTCTGAAAAATTGTTAGCTTAAACAGCCCAAAAAGAGAACAAAAGGAAGAAAATGGAGGAACAACAAATGCCCTAAAATTACTCTATTTGAGTCCTCTCTCCTCTCCCATTGTTTGTAGCCCATTTGGACCCAGCAATAGCCCCTATACGATCGGTGTATCATTTCCATCCCTACTTCCAATATTTTGCACTTTAATCTCCAAGTCAAACTCGAATGCTTTGCTACATACCCGACTTTCTTGCATGGTTATTTGCAAGAGCGAGCAATGACCAATTAATGAACATATAGGACCATATTCATTATAATTAGATAGGTGGTGGGTGAATGGCCGATGTTTTCTCGTTAAGACATCTTTAATATGATGTAATGTTCTAAGTAAACTTAGTACGAGTGCGAATCGTGTGGACCCTTCGGTTCACAGGAAGCGTGCACCTGCCAACAAAAAATCTATATGTCATCTTAGTAAGTTAACAGGACTTTAACGGGGCTGCTCGGTTAATAATGGTCTCACTGGTAGCACAATTACATGAAGTTTGGATTATAGTCGATTTGATCTCGACACACAGAAATTGGTAGCAGAAGATTACCTGAAAGTCTAAATACTAGAGTAGCGAACATTGATCTCACGATGCATGAAATCAACTAATATGTCAGTAACAATGCAAGAGCGAGTGTTCCGGTTGATTTTGGTCTTCTTCTTTGTTGTTTTCCGATTTTTCTTTCTCTACCTACATATCCTATACTTCCATTTTGTCTGTGACAGGAAGAGAAGAAGAAGATGATAATTTTATCGCCAGTCACCGATCATCAGTCTCCTTACTTGGTTGCTGTGATTTGATGCTGAAAGACTATGGCCTTTTTTTTTTAAACCGAATCAGTGGTACCGGTTTTTTTATTTCGCCAAACCTAAACCGAACCAGCACCACTGGTTAATCAGTCCGTCGATTTCAGTTTTTTACTGGTTTGGTTCTTCGGTTTTTTGGTTTTTTATATTTATAGTATATATTATATAAATATATGTATAATATTATATTATAAATAATATATAATATATAATATATTATAAATATTTTAAAAACATATAATATATTTATAAATAGATCATTATAAATATAATATATAAGTATATATTTATATATATATATATATATATATATAATGAATATATATTTATACATAATACATAGAAAATATGTGACATATATTAAAAATATACATATAAATATATACCGGTCGGTTTGGTTAACCATCGGTTTTTTTGTAGGTTAACCGAAAACCGAACCGGTCCTTTAGTTTTTCAAAAATTCCAAACCAAAACCGAACCAATTGATTCGGTTAACCACATTTTGCAGTTCAGTTTTCTCAGTTCTAATCAGTTTTTCGGTTTTCCATGGACACCCTTATGAAAGGTGAGAGGGGAATTTTAATGAAGGAGGTTGCCATTTTTCACTTTTTCGGTTTTAGTGGCTTGTTGGACTAGCCTTAACAAAGCAATTCGTTAAATTCCTAAACTTAATGAGGTGACATGCTATTTTCATTGGCATGTGCACACTTCCCGTGAATCCGAGGGTCCACAGAATTCGAGCTCACTTAGGGGGTGTTCTGTGGTGTGGATGAAAAATTGGTGGGTGTGGACTGGTCCACACCACACCCTGTGGCAGAGACCAATCCACACCACACCATAATCCACAGCTACTAAACTATGGGCAAACTGTGTGGACTGGACCAATCCACACCCATAGTGGCATTTAGTGTGGCTTTTTTGATTCCATGTATCTCATGTACATTTTATGAATGATATATACACTTAATCATAAATATCTACTTTTTTCATTTTGTATGATAAATATTTTAAAAAATGCATCAATGAATTAATATTAATTTTTTATAAAACAATAGTAAAATAATTAAAAAAAATTATAAAAAATACATTACATATTTAAAAAAGTATTATTTTATTGATAAAACATTAAAAAAAATAAAAAAAATAAAAAATTAAGTAAAATAGTTAATATTTCATTAACAAAAATATTAAAAATAATATTTAAACAATTGATTCAGAAATTTTAGCAAGACAAATGCTATCTTAACTCAAATAAGACGTATAGGCAAATGATCAATGGTTGACAGCCATGCAGTAGATTCTTGATGGGCCTAGAGAGCGCTAGGACTCATCTATTAATTCAATCCACGCCGACGCGTGTCCCTAAATCATGATACGTAGAATGTACAAACCAACGACAAGACAGAAATGGATCTCCAAAGATAAGGACCTTTGCTTCTCTATTGCTATCAATACCACCAACATTCAACAAGCCTGAAAGAAAATAAACTAACTACACATCTTCTCTTCTCTCAGCTCTCCTCATTCATCACACACTTGCTCTTCTATCATGGTCATGGCTGCCTTTGTAATAATGACTCTCTCCTCTCCTTCTTTGGCCGGAAAAGCATTGAAACTCACCGGCTCCACCTCAAAGAATCCCGGCGAAGGCAGGTTCACCATGAGAAGCACCTTGTCTTGGCCCAGGCAATCCATAACTGGTAGCCCATGGTATGATCATGACCGTGTCAAGTACTTGGGTCCTTTCTCCGGCCAGCCTCCGTCCTACCTCACCGGTGAATTCCCCGGTGACTACTGCTGGGACAGCGCCGGGCTCTCTGCTGAGCCAGAGACCTTCGCCAAGAACCGTGAGCTTGAGGTCATCCACGCCAGATGGGCCATGCTGGGAACCGTGGGGTGCATCGTGCCTGAGCTGCTCGAACGCAATGGCGTCAAAATTGGTGAGGCCATATGGTTTAAGGTTGGTTCACAGATCTTCAGAGACGAAGGACTGAACTACTTTTTAAGTTCACAAACTAAAATACCTATCAAGGATTTACATTACGAACAAAGCTAAACCAGTGGTAGTTCTAACAAATCTCTTTTAAATTCACATACCAGTGGAGCGGTGAAGAACTTGAACGACTTCGGTGGAGCACAGCAGAGGAGACCTTTGGTGGAGCGGTGAAGAGATTGGACGGAGGAGAGCGTCGAGAGTGCGCGTGAAATAAATCGTGAACCGAAAATGCGATTGACGAAAAATTGTGTGGACCGACCCCATCCAAAAAAAATGCGACTCCATCCACGAAAAAATGTAGAATGTGGATAAGACTAATCCACGAGATAGCATGGACCGATTCCATCCGCAGCGAACCGAACAATGATTTCATCACGTGGCATGGACCGAAATGATCCATCCACGAGCACTACCGAACGCCACCTTAGTATTTCTCAAGTTGTATCCAATGGAAAGACTATGGATTTCCAGTAATTGACATTGCTGGTAAATAAGGCTTTCCTTCCTCTATGTTGTTTGGGAGGGCTTGTTCCCTTTGTGAGGTTAAACCTTACTTTATCCTCCTTTTTTCTTCTACAAACTCCTGTAACAAAGGTTTTGTTTACTTCTCCTTTTTTGTTGATCCCTCTGAAAATCCTGCAGTGAGGGATCGTTCGCTAGTTTGATCATTTGCCCGGAACAGCCTCTGCTCTTTGAGGACAAGTTTCTTCTGATCTTGTTACGTACCTTTAATATGCCCATTTGGATAGGTCGAACTCAGTAAGATAGTGCCTCTACCAATAACTGGGTTCTCAGAAGCAACCAAAAACGACTGAAAATAGTAAGGAAAAAGTAAAGGAAACTGGTCTCTACAGAAAGACTCAAACAAAAGATCGCTGTAAGCTGGAAAGAAAGCTGTATCACAAAATTAACCGAAATCTCCTCTTTGTGTCATTTTCTCTCTCTCTCTAGATCTCAGCTTAACCGAAATTAAGCTGAGAGTTTTCAAACCAAGCACATCATTCTGCTGCGAACGCTTGCATGAGCTTTACGAAATTTGCCTTTTCGGGCTTAAAAAAAGTCAACTAAACGTATGAGATAGACTTAACGGCCACCACAGAGAAGAGTTCATTTTACAGAATGGCATTTAAAAGTTCAAACTCTATCTGCAAATCATATTTACACATCCAGTGTAATTAAGTAGGCAGCTAAGGAGTACTTATTTGCCACGTTATCAACAGTTTTAACGCCACGTGGCTATGGTTAACATAGAGACCATCTGTAATTAAGCACTCTGGTCAGGCTAGGTTTGAGTCATGAGTTGAAAGTCTAGGGCTGCAAGTCGGGTTCACCCGAGTCAATAATTTACACTGTTTCGGGCGGCTTCGGGTTGGGCCTATTGAAAATTTGACAAATTCCCAACCCTAACCCGAAAAAGTTGCACCCTTAGTTGAAACTTAAACCACAAAAGAAACACAAGAAAAGCTATATAAAGTTATAAAGTTTGATAAGATTTCGGCTCATTTAACAAATTTCTATTTGAATTCAATATTTAACATTTTAAGTAGGTATACCGAAAGAGCACTAACTAAAAGCTATAACATTGCTTCATCTCTAGAACTGAAAGTTAACTTGCATAGGGAATGAAATCAATCCATCTCCAACCATGATCGTGTGCTGCCCAGATGGTAAGAGAGTGTAACTGTTACTATCCACCAGCATCAAGCTTTTGCAAGCATTAAAAGTAAACTTCACTTTCTTGCTCTCTCCTTTGGGTACAAACACCCTCTCAAATCCAATTACCTGCTTAGCAGGAGCACCAACTACACCATTTGGAGGTTTGGAATATACGATCAGTACATCATTTCCATCCATACTTCCTCTGTTCTGCACTTCAATCTCGAAATCAAATTCCAACTCTTTGTCACAGACCATATCATCAACCAAGACTGCTGGGCATGGAGGCTTATATGCATCGTCCTCATAAGATAGAGGCCGGCAATGCTGATACTTGTTCAAGTTAATGTCCAGAGACCTTTTAGATGAAGCAATGTTATAAGTAAACTGAGTATAACTCAAGCCATATCCAAAGGGAAAGACTGTAGAGCCATTGAAGAACTTGTATGTTCTTCCAGGAAAGCCCAAACTATCAACTGGCCTAAATGGCATTGATGTCATTGGCAGCTTGTCCACATAGTCTGCTTCATACCATGTAATTGGTAATTTGCCACCTGTAAACATAAATTAATTTCATTAAAACTGAGAATACTCTAAAAATCACTTAATTTTTACCAAACCAAATGATTTAATTACCTGGGTTGTATTTTCCAAATATAACATCTGCAATGGCTGAACCACCTTCCTCTCCAGGATACCCAGCCCAGAGAATTGCTTTAATATTTGAGTTGCTCTTGGCAAAAGAAATATCAACACCTCCGGCAGACATGACCACAAGAATAACGGGTCCTTTAGAAACTTCAGCAACTTGGTTTATCAACTGAGTTTGATAACCAGGAAGAAGCAAATCAACTCGATCCAAACTCTCTGCTTCAACTGACAAATCTAGACCCACAATCACCACTGTAGCATCTGCATTCTTTGCTGCCTTCATCGCTCCAAAAGTCAAACTCTCATTTTTACATGCTACATCACTGCATCCCATTGCATACTTCACGTCTGCAAATCTAGATAAACCTTGCAATGGGGAAGTATAACGGCATGGAATACCTATATTCATCCATGAAAAAAGTTAATTTCAATGGGGAAATTAGAATAGTTACTGATGAAAAAATAAATGTTTTGAACAATATAATTAAAACCTACCTGCATAGTTCCCGATCATTACTTTTGTAGCATTAGCGTGTGGCCCAACCACTGCCAGTGTTTTAATGGAGTTATTCAAAGGCAAAGTATCATCAGCATTCTTAAGCAAAACAATCCCCTCTCTGGCTGCCTCCGCTGCTAACTCAATGTGTTCACCAGCACAGACGTTATCCTTCCCCAGTGACTCGAACTTAGGACTGCCGTCGAAGAACCCCAGCCTCATGAGTACGACGTAGAGATTCTTGAGAGCCTTGTCTATGTCTCCCTCTCTGATTTTCCCTTGCAATGTCGCGTTCTCAGCATAATTAGTGTAGGTAGCTCCACAATCCAAATCCAAGCCTGGAATAGCATTACCATTAACAAAAAGCTGAACGAACAAACAGAGATTTGGTTGCTGTGCTAGAGACCATTAATTGACGACTTGCCTGCATTCAGAACTTGCGCTACAGCATCCTCCGGTGTGTCAGACAGAAATTTGTGATCGTCGTAGATCACTTCGATGGAATCACAATCTGAGACAATGTATCTGTAAATTGAAGGAAGTTAGTTTTTTTTTTTTTTTAATCTATAACTGAAACGAATTTAGTTTGTTTCTGTCGAACAGAAGATAATGATGAGTACCCATGAAGATCCCAGTCTCCTCTCACAGTCTCCTTCAAAAGTTGCGGGTTAGCACAAGTGGGAATTCCATTAACTCTGTTGTAAGAGCACATAACACTGCTAACATCTCCATCTCGGACACACATCTCAAAGGGACGGAGAAACGACTCCACCATATCTTGCTCAGACACCTTCAAATTTAAACAAAAGATATATTTAGAACTAATGCATGCTAACTGGTTAATAATATATTTAATGAAAAAAAAGTCGACATTAGAGCTTGATCTGTGATAAAATTATACCCTTGCGTCAAAGTGCAGGCGATCAACTCCAAGCCAGTTATCGACGTCATAAGCAGCATAGTGCTTACAGCATGAAGAAACCTTCAGAGGCCTAGAGTTCAAGTCGGTGGTGTTCTCGTATCCCTCGACGTCTTGCAGACCTCTAACATAGTTTACTGCATAAGAACCAACTACGTAAGGATCCTCCCCTGGTGTCTCTGTGATTCTTCCCCATCTAGGATCTCTTACTACATTGATGTTAGGACTCCAATAAGTCAATCCAGCACGGCCCAGATTATACATAGCTCTTGCTTCCGTGGAGACAACCTGCAAAAGCAGAAGAATTCGTCCATGAACAAGACTGAATTAGCAATACTTTTTCTATTTAATTTTCAGAACTTCAGATTGTTAGGAAGCATGAGTTATGCTAAATGGGTTATAACTCACCTGGCCGATTTTCTTCCAGAGAGACTGGTTGAAAGATGCCGCAGTAAGAATGACGGTAGGAAAGCTTGTTGCACCAGGAACAAGCTGATCAAAGTGGGTGCCCGGACCGACATCGGAGACGCCATGAAGCGCCTCAGACCACCATTCATACTCGGGTAGTCCTATCCTGGAAACCCCAGTGCTCTTGTCTCCGAGCTGTTGGACCTTCTCTGCGAGAGTCATTCTGTCCACTAAATCTTTGGCTCTAAGATCGTAGGACAGAGACTTATCGCAGTAACCGAAGTCCTTCAACTTGAGCCCTAACTCAGCAAACCTCGAAGGATCACACACACGAGTATAAGTGGTAGCATTGGAAGTCGTGGCTAGTAGACGACTCCTTGCAGCCGAAAGAGAAGAGAGAAACAGAAACAGTACACAGAAGAACAGAGCTCTGGCCATTAGTGACCGAATGAATGAAACGCTGGAAATGGAACAAATGTATGCGCCGTGGAGCATCGATTGTAGTGGTGTATATATAGAAAGAGAAATATGAGATAGGATCGAAATCTATATATATATCTATAAGCAAGTGAAGAAATTTTCTCATTATTATTATTATTTTTTTATTATATGCCATTTTTTAAACAACCAATGCACTTTACCAGAACCTAAATAAATTTTTGAAATGGAACAAATGTCATTTTTGAAACAATACACATGTTTTTTTTATTATATGTCATTTTATTATATCTAATTCCTATTTATCTCTAAAATTATCTCTAATTTAGTACATGGATTCTCTCCTAAATTATCTCTAATTCCTATTTATCCTCTCCCCTACTTTTTATCTATATCTATCTAAAGAAACTTTGAATTAAAAAATTTAAGAATTATTTAAATATTCTAACAAGATTATATAATAAATTAAAATATGTATTAAAACCACAAAAAATAATTTTGTATTTTTACAAAATATATTGCAAAATTATATACTAACAATTTAAATTATGTTTTTCCGGATTATCAATTTAAATGTTTTTCAAAAATTTAATAATATGTAATAGCTTTAAATAAATAAAATTCAAATAACAAAAAAATTTAAATATTCTATGGATTATTTAATATTTAAATAACTAAATATTTATCATAACTAGATTTTAAATAGTTAAAATAACCAAATTATGTAATAAATTTAAAAATTTCTTCATATATATATATATATATATCAACAAGGAAGTCTATAAATTTTTTCCTTTTTTAGAATTTTTTATTTTTTAATTCCATATCATTTTTGAAACAACCATGAATGAGATGCACTTTCCCAATAATCTAAATAATCTTTTTCCTAAAATACCTCCCCCACTTTCTCCAAAATTATCTCTAATTCCTATTTATCTCCAAAATTATCTCTAGTTCCTATTTATCCTCTCCCCTACTTTTTATCTATATCTATCTAAAGAAACTTTGGATTAAAAAATTTAGGAATTATTTAAATATTCTAACAAAATTGTATAATAACTTTAAAATATTTATTAAAATCACAAAAAATAAATTTATATTTTCACAAAATATATCACAAAATTATATACTAACAATTTAAATTACGTTTTTTCTGAATTATCAATTTAAATGCTTTTCAAATATTTAATAATATGTAATAGATTTAAATAAATAAAACTCAAATAACTAAAAAAAATTAAATATTCTTTAGATTATTTAAATATTTAAATAACCAAATATTTATCATAACTAGATTTTAAAAAGTTAAAATAACGAAATTATGTAATAAATTTAAAAAATTTCTTCAAAGTAGAAAAATAATTATAACATAATATTGAAATTAATAATAATTTAATATATTATAAAATTAATAATGAAATTATGTAATAATAGTATAAATTATGATTTTATGGATAATTAAATACAATAAATAATAAATATTTTTAAATTTAAATATTTTACATATTATTTAAGTATTTAAATACCTAAATATTCTGAATAACAAAATATTTAACATAATTAGATTTTGAATAGTTAAAATAAAGAAATTATGTAATAAATTGAAAAATTTTGAAAACTAGAAAAATAATTTTAACATAATATTGAAAATAATATAATTTAATAATTTTACATAATATTGTAAATAGCTAATTTCACTTATATCAAGTAATAATTCGAGAAATAACTTTCAAAAAAACTAATATTTATTAATAATAATTTTAAACTCTTAGTCTATATTTATTATAACATTATATATACTAAAATTAATATTTATTGTATTCCAGTAATTATTTATTGCTTTTTTGTGATAAATGTATTTTCAATGATTATGTATAAATTTGTTTTATTTTTTTATTTAACAGAAAACTTTCAATAATTATTTGAGATTAAACTACTATTATTGAATTTTTTAAACTTAATTTATTGTACTTATTATATTTATTGTATTTTGTTATAACTTATTTTTAATATTTATTAAAGATTAAACTATTACTTGAGATTATACTATTTATTGACTAAGTTATTATATTTTTAGTACTTATTGTATTTTTTTCATTAGCAATATATTTTCAATAATTGTGTATTTTCGCTAGAAATTTTCAATAATTATTGGAGACTAAACTATTGTTATTTATCAAAGATGAGACCATTAATTTATCTGAAATTATGAGTGTTCATGAGTTGATTTGGTTCGATAATAGGCTATTTGGCCAACCAAACTGACCTAGTCAGGTTGGGGAGTTGGTCAGTTGAAACCGATTGACCTTTTGTGAAAACCGACCCACTCAATTTGTATCGGTTTGGGTTGATTTTTGGTTTGGTCAGTCGGTTCAAAAAATTTAAACTTAAAACTTAAATTTAATTTTTAAAATTGTAGTGCAATTATTAAAAATAAATTTAAAATTTAGATTTATGATGTAAAACATTTTAGACTAAGAAATATGAGCAATTTCCCACTTTTTCATATTAAAAATTATATTTAAAATATAAAATATTAATATTATATATATATATATATATATATATATATATATATATATATATATATATATATCCATGGCTAGGTCATTCGATTTTGGTTAGTTTACAAATGGTCAAAGTGAAACTGTTCCAACTTGCTCGTTCGATTTTAACTATCTAAAATCTAGTTATGATAAATATTTATTTATTTAAATATTTAAGTAATATATAAAATATTTAATTATTTAATTATTTTTTATTTATTTAAAGCTATTATGTATTATTAAATATTTGAAAAAAAATTAAATTGATAATCCAGAAAAACATAATTTAATTTTTTAGTACATAATTTTGTGATATATTTTTTAATAATTGCATTATAATTTTTAAAATTAAAATTAAATTTTAAGTTTAATTCTATTGAACCGACTGACCTTTTGTTAAAACCAACCCAAACTGATACAACTTGAGTGAGTCGGTTTTCACAAAAGGTCAATCGGTTTCAATAACCAACTCCCTAACCTGACCAGGTCAATTTGGTCGGCCAAATAGCCTACGACCGGATCGAACCAACTCATGAACACTCATAATTTTAGCTAAATTAATAGTCTTATCTCCGATAAATAATAATAGTTTAATCTCCAATAATTATTGAAAATTTATAGCAAAAGTACACAATTATTGAAAATATACCGATAATGAAAAAATACAATAAGTACTAAAAATATATTAACTTAATCAATAAATAGTATAATCTCAAATAATAGTTAATCTCTAATAAATATTAATTAATCAATAAGTTATAACAAAAATACAATAAATTAAATTTAAAAAATTCAATAATAGTTGGTTAATCTCCAATAATTATTGAAAGTTTTCTGCTAAATAGCAAAACAAAATAAATTTATACATAATCATTGAAAATACATTTATCACAAAAAACAACAAATAATTACTGAAATACAATAAATAACAATTTTAGTATATATATAATTATATAATAAATACAGATTAAGAGTTTAAAATTATTATTAATAAATATTAATTTTTTTGAAAGTTATTTTCTCGAATTATTACTTGATATAAGTGAAATTAGTTATTTACAATATTATATAAAAATATTAAATTATTATTAATTTCAATATTATGTTATAATTACTTTTCTACTATTCAGAATTTTTTTAAAATTTATTACATAATTTATTTATTTTAACTATTTAAAATCTAATTATGTTAAATATTTTGTTATTTAAATACTTAAATGATATATAAAATATTTAAAATTTTAAATATTAATTATTTTTTGAATTTAATTATCCATAAAATCGTAATTTATACTATCATTATATAATTTCATTATTAATTTTGTAATATATTAAATTATTATTAATTTCAATATTATGTAATAATTATTTTTCTACTTTGATGAATTTTTTTTTTAAATTTATTACATAATTTCGTTATTTTAACTATTTAAAATCTAGTTATGATAAATATTTAAATAATCTATAAAATATTAAAATTTTTTTGTTATTTGAATTTTATTTATTTAAATCTATTATATATTATTAAATCAATGTTTTAAAAAATGACCCGGAAACAGAACCACTTTGGTCACCGGTTTCTGGGTCAACGGTTCAACTGTCCGGTTCAAACGGACGATTCATTCTGATAGGAAAATTTAAAAAATAAAAAAATAAAAAAATAAAAAACTGTAAAAAATCGTTGAACGGGTCAATGGTTCAACAGTTCAACCACTTGGGTCAATGTTTTGTTGATTATTTCAACGGGTTTTTACCAGATTTTGGGTTTATGCAAAAACAGAATCAATTGCCTGGACGTTTCCCGGGCCGAACAGTCCGACCGTCTTGGTCAACGACGGTTCGAAAACACTGTATTAAATATTTGAAAAACATTTAAATTGATAATCCACAAAAACATAATTTAAATTATTAGTACATAATTTTGTGATATATTTTGTAAAAATATAAAATTATTTTTTATGTGTTTTAATAAATATTTAAAAATTATTATATAATTTTGTTAGAATATTTAAATAATTCTTAATTTTTTTAATCCATACTTTCTTTAGATAGATATAGATAAAAAGTAGGGGAGAGGATAAATAGGAATTAGAGATAATTTAGGAGAGAATCGCTCTACTAAATTAGAGATAATTTAGAAGATATGGTGAGGAAGGTATCTTAGCAGAAATTTTAGGAAAATAGATTATTTAAATTATTGGGAAAGTGCATATCATTGATTGTTTAAAAAATTACATGAAATTAAAAAAAATAAAAAATTCAAAAAAAGAAACACTCACCAACCTCCCTTATTTTTTGGAAACGTTTCAGCCTCCCTTTATATAGAAAATTTTCTGTACCAAATCAATAGCAATCTGCCACACCATTTAAAAAAAAGTCATTTAAATTTTGAAATGAGAAAAACAGGCTGATGTAGAAAATTGATATTGATGTGGTACAGAAAATTTTCCATACCAAGGATACAAAGGATGTGAACTCCTCCCTTGTGGCATACTTCTTTATCACTTACCTCCCTTTGTTAAAGGTCCACGGATATGGCAATAGTACCTTATCATGGGACCTGCTAATGGATAAGATCTGATCAAGTTCAAATACAGAATAATCATATCTTGAGCTACTTGTATCCAAATCAATTGGACCCACATTTAGCCCTACCAAATATATAGGTGTAATGTGGGCCGTGTTGACCACTTTTGAGGGTGATCCGCACTGTAGCGGGCCATGCCGTGCCGGCATGTGGGCCTAGACGAGCCGTGCCCAACTGATTGGAACCCTCTAAAAGGGGAAGCCTGGCATGGCCTACTGCGGAAGGCCTGTGGACCTGTGTCTGTTAGGCCACGCGTCGGACTGTGAGCAGCACGATGTTTTTACTTTTTAGAGAAATTGAAAAAAAAAGTTGAAATAAATTAACAAGATAGATAAGAAATTAGAAAAAAAATCTTTAAAATTTTATATATAAAGTAATAAAATGAAACTGAAAAATATTATACTAAAATCGGAATGAAATAATATAATAAAGTTAAAAATAAAATTTTATATACATATATACATACACAAGTTGTGTGGGCCATGTCGTATTGGGATTGGTCCTTTTTTTTATTTTTTTCAAAACCAGTTTAAAGGAATCGGTTTAAGATTCCTTCACCCCCTGAACCGGTCAGAACCTCAATACATCCTCTGTAGGGACATATCGGAATACTCCTGATATAATATGTATCGACTGACACGGACCGATACGTATCGATACTTTTGAACCTTAATTCAAACCAAACAGTGACTAGTGAGCACAGAAGGGGGCAAGCACGAATCAAGTAGTTGCAAACAATTGGTTTGACTTCTGAGAGACTCTTGTCTACAACTGTTCAATAAGAGAGCCACCCTCACCAAGGAACCATCTTCTTCTTCTTCTCCACCAAGTTTCCACACAGAGACGAGACTGTCGACCCATTTCAACATCACAAATCGATCATAAGACAATCACGATGGTCCACCCAAAGGAATATCTTATCTATCTCTGCTGGTGCTAGCTGTTGAATGTCAATGTGTGGGCCACCACCACTTCTTGCTTGCCTTGATTGAAGTTTAATTGAACCTTCTAAGGTTTTGCTGCTATCCCTTGCCGCATTGGATCAGTCAATTTTAAAGGTTATTGTCTGGGTTCGTGTGTTGAGGCTTACTTTCCTTTGGATTTTTCCCAACAGAAATTGGAAGGGGGACCTCCTTTGCTTATAATTCCCAGCTCCAATTTTCCTCTCCATGGACGCATGCCATCAGATGCTCAACTAGCATCTTATTTTTATTTTGAGTTCTATTCACATGCTTGCTGTCCTCTAGCTCCACGTGGCAAATTTTGTGCAATATACCAGTCTGCCACCGAGAACCCAGCTTTTGTTTTATCACCATAATGAAATAAATAACTTCCAGGATTAAATAATCAATAAATAAATACTACCGGCTCTCACAACTTGCATCCTTCTTTTTACATCGAGACATTTTAAGACACTAGTAAATGTGTACGCACGTGACAATATTTCTAAGATAAAACTATTTATAATTCATAGGTAGTTTCTTGTTATAAGTGGGTAGTTTTTAAATTATTGGTGGACAATTTCTAAACTATTTTAAGTAGGCATTTTCTAAAGTGAGAGCAAAGAACATTTATGCCCATTGTATTCTTAGACAAGAGGGGTAGAAAATGTCCAATAAAAATTCCAGAAATAAGGGGCATTCGCTCTTTTTTAGGTAATATAGATATAGATACAGATATTTGGCAAGGTGAATACTGGGGGGGGGAGGGGGGTTCTTTCTTGAGATCATTGCCATTGGTTTCAAATGATCTTCAACAGTTGCAATTGCATTTTAATGAGTATTGTTTCTTTTTCTTGTGTTTGCACCAAGAAACAACAATGTTTTTGGTTAGAATCAGAGATATGGAACATCAAATTCTGTTGTTTTAATGCAACAGCATGTTCCCAAATGTTGCTTTTGTTCATTGAGGATTATTCCTTGTTCCAAGAACAGCAAGAACATTCCTTGGGTATTTACCTTGTGCAATGATGCACTAAATCTCATTGTACAAGGGTGTTTATAGTGATACTTAATACAACACTTTATGTTACAAAAAAGGATATTCCTTGGGTATTGTTTTTAAAAGAATCTTTTATGCTGATGTTGGGTGACCATTTTAGATAGCTGGAACCAATCTGACTGATTCAATTGGGAAGGTTAAAACCAGATGATAGGATATAGGAACCTCCTTTGTGTATGACAAGCTTGACAATTGTTCTGCTCAAGGAAAATCCCACTTGTATTGTCTAAATGAATGCTTTAACTCAAAGTGATTGTCCATAACCAAATCGTTTTCTTAAGATTGAGTGATGCCTTTACTAGAATACAAGTACTGGTTTGCTTAAGCAAGCTATTGATAAACACCACCAAAACAAGAAAACTTCACATCATAGTCTGGTCCAGTCAGAAAGAAACACTATTTCAGGAAGGGAACATCAGACCTTGAGGCATAAGAAAGATACATAAATCAGACTCCCCACAGAAGTGCCCTTTATCCCTCCCTAGGGTTCACAATCATCAAACCCCCCTATAACATTAGAATCTGCTTACAAAAAATCTACAGGTGTCATTACTCCAGGAAGCCGCTCAAGGCGAAAAAATGATATCATAGCTAGCTTTACATGATATATAAGTGGGGACCTAAACTAATCTTGATGGTACATATATACTTTAAATTAGGTTGAATGTGAAAATGATTTGGTCAGGGAACATGAGATACTTGACAGTGGCCCATGTTGGTGTGCAAGCTCATGAATGTCTCTAACAATATTGAATACAGCATCTGGTTGTGCTAGCTTAAGGGCATTAGCTGACATTTTCTTGAGCTCTTCTGTCTTGGAGCTGAACCATTCAGCAACTAGAACAGCTGTTTCCTTTGGACTACTAGAGAAGACACCCGCACCATTGTCTACAACATAAGGGACATTGCCAACTTCCTGCAATATTTCCAAATGAAGAGAAAAGCAAAAAGGGAAATTAGGAAACCTTGCTGCAGTCACCGAAACAATGCAAGTGAAGTGCTTTAGCATCAGAGTTATAACTGGGGCATCCGGAAATGTCCCTCTATGTGAGAAACAATGAATTTTTGAGAACAAAGTTTCAACTCAACTTGAAAATGCAGAGACTAATGCATTCCATTCTATAAGTTAAAGAAATAATAAGAAAATACAGAAACACCATGAATGAATGCAGCTTGCTAGGAGGCCTGGAAGAAATAAGAAAACATCTTATAGATATTGTACACGTAAGTGAAATAACGGAAAATCTTAAGTTCATTTTTTCAGTAAGAAAGCACTAGGGAGAGGAACTCCAATCTTTTTTTTTTTTTTTTGTACCAGGTTAGAGCCTGTTGTTTATCATTTGTAACTTAATATATGTCAACCAGATTTTAGCTTAAAACTTATACCATTTTCATTAATTTGACCAGGGTGAGTTTTGATTTTTTGTAACCTGTGACACAAAATATTTGAGAGATCAAATTTAATGCATATTTTGTCTACATATACATTAGCATCCGGCAATGCAGTGTGACCGGAGTTAAAAGGGAGAGCATGAGGAACTATTATAACTGAAGAGAAGTTGTTAGTTTAGAGTAGGTGAAAATGTTTATGCATCTTATACTAGACCTATTTGGCCATATTTTTATATGATAAATTCAACATTTAGTATCTATTCTACACCACATGGAATCACATAGAATTCTTTAACCTGGTCAAAATTTACAAGTTTATTAAGACTAACCTGTCCAGGGATAAAGTCATTTAGGATAATTGGAAGCCCCCTTATCAAAGCCTCTGCAATTGTGCCAGGTCCAGCCTATGACAGCCATAATAATTAATAAACAATTATCGTATGATACAGAAATAGAAAACAGATTCAAGTATAAAGAAGAATATTAAGGCATGAAAAACTGTTAACATACTTTAGTGATAATGCAGTCACAAGCTCCCATCCATTTCTCCATCTGGGTCTCAAATCCTCTTATCTGCGGCCAAAAGAAAAAAAATTAGGATTGATTGCCTACTAATTATTCTTGACACTCAAATACAATTGAATTATTGTTTCATGATTGGCAAAAGAAGTAAAAGAATCACCTTTACAGGAACCTTCCACTGAAATGACTCTAGTGTAGCAGCTAGGTCCTTATTACGGCCACATATGACAACAATTTGGCCAACAGGTTTGCCAAGCTTTTCATCAAATAGTGATTCTCCAAGGGCCCTTGCAGTTTTCTTGACAGGACCCATGCCTTCACCACCTCCCATGAGCAAAACTGCAGGCAAATGAAGATCCATCTCCAGTTCTTTTCTTAATTCATCCTGTATAACAGGAGTGTAAACAAACCCAAATACCATAAAGTCAAAATCTTATCTAGTTATAGATAATCAAATTGGATTTTCTTTCATTAAGATGATAATTGAGTTGCTTCAGCTAGATGTTTATCATTATCTACCTTGGACAGAATTGCTCGACAGAAAGACGGACGAATTGGCAATCCAAAGACACGAATCTGGGAGGACTGTAGGCCATCTAGCAAAGCTCTCTTTGCTACCTCCTCTGATGGGCAGTAACATCTGTTGACACTAGTGTGGAACCTGGACATAACAAAACCTCCAATAAGCTGTGGCTATTGGTTACAGCAGAAATTGAAGCTAAAGATGGATTAAATTTACCATGTTCGGTGACAGGTATTGAGGTCTGTAATAACTGTAACAAACACCACTTTCTTCTTAAGCCCCTGCCATTTAAGCACCCACAGAGGAACATGTTGCATCAGAGGATGGACACTAATGATAATGTCTGGTTTGTACTCCATCAGACCAGCCTCCACCTCTCTTCAATTTTCAAACATAAAGAAGTTAGAGATGTTAAGATGCACAAGGAGAATTCAAGGTTTCCTATCCTTGTTAAAACTTGAGTCTACCAAAAACCTCTCTAGTTTAAAATGCAGTTCACTATCTGTTAAAATAGTGATTAGTGGTAAGAGATGGAGAAGAACCAAATGGAACTAAAACAAAGTTGTGCTGCTAATGTTCAATTTGGGCAAGGTGATGAAAGGGATGAAAATCACAAATAGACGTCTGGCATAATGGGTTATTACAACTTGAAGACAGCACTAAAGTATGAGAATATATTTTAGCCCTAGAACAACTAATTAATATACAATTGAAGAGAAGACATGAGCACATAATAAAATCTCTGCAGTTTGAACTAACGAGTGAACATGGTTGCTAAGATTGGAAAACATACTTGGCATAGAAGGCAGCAATAGCAGTTAGATAGAAGCAGTGAATCCAACGAGGAGAGGTACTGAAAAATGCAACCTTCCAGAGCTGTACATGTTTCACCATGAACTTGTATGTTCTCTCCATATCATTCAACGGCCAGCCAGTGTATTCTTTCCACACATCCTTCACGAAAACCTGAAATCGAACATCCTTGCACATAAGTAGAAAGAAAGGGCTAACAATTGAAAGACTTATATCAAAAAAGGAAGTACTAATGGAAAAGCAGTACCAGATTAGGAAAATGTAGTAAATTTGAATAAACAAGGCCACAATTAGAAACAAGCTGACCCAAATTGGGACTGAAACCAAGAGACTAGAAAACCACCGAAGAGAAGAAAATACAAACAGAATGATGAAGTAATCCATTAATTAAAGAAACTAGAATACTAAGAATGAAGGAAGAAAACAATCAAACAGAGAAAAGCCCACTAATGCAAAATTGGGGAAGAAAACAGGGGAGACCATATGAACAGAATAAAGAACAGGTAGAAGAAGATAAGAATACAAATGGGTATCCCAAAAAAAATGAATAAAAGGAAGAAATAATGGTATAATTATTGAAAAAAAAAAGCAGAACATTAAAATCGAGTTAGAAAGAACACCCGGGAAAATGAAAAATATGAAGCAAAACAGAAGAAACCTATCAAAAGCAAGAGCATTACCCTGTAATCATCCCCGAATTCCAGTCTAAACGCGTCGCGAATAGCCTCTGCTGATGCTCGATGACCTCCACCAGTATCGCTCATCAAAATTAGAACATTCTTGGTCCTCTCAGCTCCAATCTGCACGAGCTCCACTGGCTCATCATCCTCCTGGTACCCATAAGAGCACCTTTTCTGATGGTTATATTTGTAATGTCCCTCAGCACTACTTTTAAAGAACGTATCTCTAATCGATCTCCTCGGCGACACCACTGAAATAACCATGTCCGTTATCTTCACCCCAAAATTTCATAAAAGACAAACACAACAGTCAAAAGCAAAGCCAACCGCCGGAAGAACCAGTTTCCCGGCAGAAACCGAGAGAGAGGGGGAGGGAGGGAACTGACAGAGAGAGAGAGAGAGAGAGAAGCCTGATAGGAGAACGGTCGTTGGAGTGAAAGTAATTAGTTATGTAAGAGACTCGAAGCTGGCGAAACGTTCCGATTCCGTTAGTAGCTGTAACATCCACAGATTCTCGAATGATGCCAAGTATTTTTGAGCGGCGAGGAAATTTCAGCCGTTTGATTCGCATCTTGGTTTGGAATGTTCTGAATAGAAGATCCGCATGGAAGATCTACTCAGAACATACCAAAACAAAATTCGAATCAAACGGTGCCTTTTGTGGGTCCCACAATGTCTATAACGCGAAGTTTCTTTGCGTTGTAGAAATTCCTAACGGTCTAACTGTCAAACTGGTTCTAATTTTTATTATTTTTTCTCTTTTTTCAGTTTTATTTTTAGCGGGAGTGGTTGCTGGGGCCCACTTTTTTGTGTGCCCAAATGAGCTGGCGTCTGGCGAAAGCCCAACTGGCTGTGCGTGACGAAATGGAGCTACGCCGAAGTGCCATAGTGAGACTGTAGGTAAAGTTATAGCTATCATTGGATCAGAATCTTTAATACCTTGAGAATAGGTACACAACTGTACAAATAGAATATGCTCAAGATCCTAAACTTGGATCCATAGATGATTGAAAGTGTAAGATTCCAATCCAAGGATTTTCCTGTAAAGTTTACCATCTTCAGTGTTTTCTATTGTACACATTCAACGGATCAATTTGCCGATGTCAGCCAGAGGGGACAAGGGACAAGTAGGACAACAAAACTGAACCGTTGATGAGTGGGAAAATGACCAAAAATACACTTGATAATCATCGATTTGGCATCATGGCTCAAGGGTTCATGTGATCGATCCATTGAAGCTGGATGTCAATGTTGTGATACATCCTATATCTTAAAACCAAACACAGCAAAGTGTTGAGATAATGAAAATGAGAGCATCAACCCTAGGTGACTCACACGTGTTCTAATATGCCAACTAGATTACCAGGTGTCAAAAAGAATAATTTGGCCAAAAACTAAAAAATGAATAAACAAATAAGGTTTTGGGCGATGGATGAAAGATGATGTGTCAACTTTTATTTGAACCCAGTTTGACAGGTGGCATTCATAGAGTAACTTTGATATGATGGGCTAATGGGCCCATCATTCCATCAATAAGAGTATAGGAGGGGACCCAACTATAACACTTTGGTGTTGACTTAAGGGCAAAGCCACTTCCAATGGGCGCCCAGTTGTTGGAGAGCCCAGTATCCACTTTCCAACTGCCTTCCTGAGACAGGATGGGCTCTGAGCCTTCTGAGATCCATTTAACCTAGTCATCCTTGAATAATTTAGAACCCCAATCATCCTTTCAAGTTTGAACCTCCCTCCTCACTACAATACACCAACTCAGCAAAGTTGACCAAAATTAGCACTCCACCTGGCAAACTTATAACTATGTTTGGCTGCATGAATTAAATGAATGATTTGTTTGGAAAATGATATTCAATGAGAAAATGACTTGTTTTCCTAATTATTCTAATGTTTTGGACCTACTAACCTATCAGTCCAAGACAGTCTTATTTCATTAGAATATAAGCTGATGCCACCCTAAACCAAATGACTGTGGTGTGGTGGTTTTACATTGCTTTTGAGAGTAACATGGAGCCATTTTCGGTTTTTAAGACAAGCAAAGAATGAAATCCGATAGAAGAAATGAACTTGTCCATTTGAGCAGTGATAGAGTGACAGAGTTGTCTTGCTTTTCTCAGTCACAAGACAATAAAACTTTGCCACGTGGAAAAGGAAACTAATCTATTATCCACCCATGACTCAGCCATGGTTTTAATGGGATGCTTATATGCTTATTTATTCAGTTCGGTTTTCTAATGAAAATATAAAGTATTTTGGAAGAAGCTAAAACCAGTTGCCCAATCTTTCTATTTTGGTGACAGCCGCGCCTGTTGTGTTTTGTCTAATATAAAACCCTTGGAGCTGTAGTTTACTTTTCTTAGAAGGTAAGTGATCGGTTGTTTGGTGTTAAGATACAAGCTAGATTTTCTTAAATGGTGGAACTTAGAAGAGAGCCAAAACTGACCAACTTAGATTGATCTTTTATTCTTTCTTTCCTTCTTTGTTTCTGTTTTTCAGGGTGGCTTGTATCGGCGATCACCATACACAAGGAGTAGTATTCCAAAATTGGTATTTTTTTTTTGCCAACTCAGGTGCAGGCGGGATTCGATCCTAAGTCTCCATTATAATTAACAGTAGGGAAGGATTCGAGCCAAACTAGACCCAATAGCTAATTATTTGAGCTCAGCTCACTAAGACAGTTTGAGGATCAAGTTCAAGCTTGAGCTTGAGTTCAACTCGAGCCAATAGGTCATAAGCTCGAGCATGGTTTGGCTCGAGTTTGACTGAGTCAAATGCTTTATAAAAGTAAAAAATTATATATAAAAATTTATTTTTATTTGATATTTAAAAAATTAATAATTATAATAATTAATTATTATTATTATTATATATATAAATAAAAATATTATATATAAAAATATTTTATGTATGTATGTATGTATGTATGTATATATATATGTATATAGAAGCTCGATTAGACTCGTGAACCTCACAATCTGAATTTTACAAGGCTTGAGCTTTACTTGATTAACAAACAAGCCCGTAAGTTAGGCTCGAGCTCGGCTTGAAACTCGATTTAAGCTGAATTGACCCAAGTTCGATAACTCATGAAAATCTTGGCTCATTGCCGCTCCCAACCAACAAGAAACCTTATCAATCAGCTGGTTAGCACCTTGCATTCCAAAATCGGGTGTTTGAGTGGATTCACAAATTTGGATTTGCTAAAAATCTGAGATATCTTGTATTGATTTATCATTTTCTTTTATAGTGAAGGACGTTTGCTCTCTGTGCATAGAAAATGGAAAATGATTTGTCATTTTCTTTTATAGTGAAGGACGTTTGCTCTCTGTGCATAGAATGGGGGTGGGTCAATGGGATTTACAGCTCAGAGAAAGGGAAGAGGGACTCTGAGTTTGCATGAGAGGGTTCATTTGGGTTGGATTAATTGAAATTCAAAATGACGCTAATTTTGAATAATGCTACTGTTAATTTTGAATGATGGGTTCGATTTTTATCGGTGGTGACGGCAGATGCGAAGTCAGCACGGACGCACATAGAGAGAAAAAAGAAGAGCAGAACAACAAACATCTCCCACACAAACACACTACTAGTACTAGTACCATTAAAGCCAATCAAATGCGAGGACACAACACCTTTTAACATTCATCTATGGTAAACATCACAAAGGAAAACATTGATAAAACAAATTTAATTAGCTATATCATGAGCTGCAACATTGAAGCTTTTTGGTATCCACTGAAATTTAATTAACCTATCTTTGATCAAATAACTTCAATATATATTGGATCAGAAAAATGACTCAACACCACATGAGTTCTTTGGGTCGTTTAAGCTATTGATGAGCTGTAAGCTATCATTTTCCATGATCACATCGAGGACTCTCATTCTGTCAATGACCACAATCATAATCACGGCTAAGGGTTGCAGCAGCTGAGTTGGAAATTCCGAACAGCGAAAAGGTTTTGGCGGCGGTGGAGGTTCCGGCTGTGTGGGAGCAGTTGGGTGACCGCGTGGATTAGACCCATACATCTCTATTATGAATTGAAAAATGTGTAGCTGCAATTCAAGGCAGGTAGAGAGTGTAACGAAATCTGGGCTCGATAATAGAAGGGAGAGAGAATGAGAAAAGAGAAAGGTATCAAAGTGATCGGTTAATTGAATTTCATAGGTTTTTTAGTCGGATGTTTTAACTCCGTCAGTTCGAAATGTAAGAAGGAGGAGAGTGGCATGTTCCATTGCTATTGGGTGGGTTAGAAAAATTTCTATCCTTAGAGGAAAGATGATGCCAACTCACAAATTTGGGTGAAGAATTTCTCTCTCTCTCTCTCTTTCATTTTTTTTTTCTTTTGTTCTTTATGGTAGTCTTAACAAGAGATATCATTTGAAGTGAACAGGTTCCAAATAAGTGGTATTGAATTCAAGGTTTTGCCTCATGGAACTATTGGGTTGTTCTTTAACATAGAAAAGCCGTCAAGGCTGTACATTTTACAAATAGGTCATCCTTGTTTAGAATGCAAATCTGAACTAGTTGCAAATTTTGCATTCCACGCAGTTTTTTATTTATTTGTTTGTGATATATATGATTTGCACTCTTATTTAATCCAAAATTTGCACTTTTTGTCTCACTTACATTCATCAATAATATAAATTTTGCATCTAAAAAACTGATAAAATGCATGGATCTGCTACCCCACCTATCTACAAGACATTGCAGTGCCACATCAGGAACACGCCCCCCACTTATACATTGTCACTAATTCAAGGAAAAATGCCTCTAAGGCTCAGTTTGGAAGGAATACAAATGCAAATTTGTAGGATGCAAAACTTTGTATTTTATGTTATTTTGTATGTATTTACACTATATTATTTGTATCTGTACTCCTTCCAAACTGAGCCTAAATGTACTTGGGGATATAACTTCTTATAGGTAGGTAGGTAGTGCTTTTGCTGGTAGAAGATTGGGAGTCAAAATAAACAACATTCGTCCAGCCTCATTTCTCTTTCATATAAAAATTGCATTCCTATTTTACTTTTTACAAGCAAACAGAACAAAGGTCAAAAGAGTTGAATCAATCTATGAATACCTTAGCTAAATCCGGTTCACGAGGGGTTTTTGGCATAGTGCATATACTCCGCCTTGTTAATAGCTGGATGGGCTCTTGTTTTTATTATTTTTTTATCCAACCAAGGATGTTGTTTGTTTTGTTTGAGATCTCGAGCTGATTTGTACATCTTCTCAATTTCTCATGTACATTCCTGTTTTATAAACCATGATTCACAAGAGTTTATTTGCACTACTATGCATTTATACCACTGCAAATAAAATTTGCACTACAACTAAATGGAGCCATAGGACTTCAGTTCAGAATA